TCTCTTTGACTAAATAGTTTCCGTCTGAAAATTTATTCCTCAGTAAAGAGATGTTATTTTCAATAATTATTTTCTAGTAATATATTTGTCAGCCGTTCTAACTCTTTACGTAAATTGTTTGCTTATCCGCTAATTTCAACTTCTAATAATCATTGACTTCAAAATACCAACTTTAGTTTTGTAATTATGATTGGAAAGAAAATTAAGCGGAGACTGCAATTATCGTAAATGAGAACGATCTTTTACGATGCTGGGGGCAGTGCAGTTCCACCAAATATCAGTCTTTCGCTTCAAGGGTGGCTCTTGTCACTTTTATGACCCTGTCACTCAAAAACCCAACATTCTTTCTAGTGTATAATATTCGTATATTTAGGTGCAGATTTCGCCACTATATTGTAGCATCAGATAGGGCTTTTCGGCAAGTGAACCAGTTCTTTGCACTACTCCCGAATAGATTTAAGTAGGCACTAAATACGGCACTGCTGTCACATTCTGTCCTTTTTTGGGTGTTGCATTGTGGCTAGAGAAGCTGGTGAAAGCTTGACTGCTTTCGTTATTGGGCTTGGTGTCTTATTAGTGGTACAGATTGTGTACTAGCGACAACAACATGGAGCAACCTAACAGATCAACTACTCCGGCCGAAGTGGAGGTTCATGCCCAAAGCCCCACGCCTCGTCAGCAGCCCAGAGTGCGAACAGCCGGTTTCAGTGCACACTTTGCATTGATTGATTTCTCGACTGCCTAATCGGCTGTTTACACGTTCCACTAGGCCTCCCGAGCCAAGGAGAGGATGATGTCTCTGGGCTTTTTGACAATTTATACCCATTTTTCAGCTTATCCTATGCCCTCCATACACTCGTGTGCACATCCGCACACACACACACACACACACACGTCTGCTGTGCCGGCTCGGCGACACTCTCCAATTGGCCGGGCATTTGCCAGTTTGCGTAACAAGAGATTGCCACGACTGTAGGCGCTCTCGACACGGACAGAGCGGATGCCAATGCCTCGTTGAAGGCGGTCAAACCAACAAGTGCCTACCGATCGAATGTGTCTGCTGCGCTGAAAAGCAGCCGGCTGCCCAGCCTCGGTCTGTGGCACATTCGTGCCCAAGTGGAATTGGCCTTCAGTCTACCAAACGGCCGGCTGGCCGATCAATGAAGTGTAACGTGTGGATCGCCTGTGAAAGACTGTCTGTAGGAAGGCCGTTTGCAGAGGCAAATCGCTTCGTGTGTGCACACAGAGCGGCCGAAATCGTGCCTGGCCGGTGCCGGTACGAGTGAAGTCATACAGCTTTCTCCTTTCGCCTCTCTCTTCGCTGCACCCACCGCCAATGAAAAAGTATCCCTCGCCCAATGCAGGCCATCACGTGGCTCGACACGCGGAATCGCAGCTTCACGCGCTGCACTCGAGATCGAGCCGCCTCGGTCGGTCAGATCGAGCAGCGCACGGACTTGTAGAAATCTGCGGCAGGCATCGCCCGTCCGGCGCGAAGGGGTGTGCTGTCTGTGTTGGCGGGAGACGAATGAAAAGAGCCCCAAGCCATAATGTTTCAGGACTCGCCTCGGCCAATCTGAGAAGTGTGGGATTTCGCCTGGGCATTGCTCTATCGCCTACGGACGAAGATGGGCCAAGTCTGCCGTCTGGCCGGCACCCTCGGACCGGACAAGGCCCCTAAATGTCAGCATCACGGCTGGTTAGCGGCCAGGCGGCTGGAGAGTGTGTGAGTGGTAGCGAGGCCTGAAATGCCAGATTTCAGACCTGCGAAGTCTTGATAAATCCCTCGGGTAGAGGTCACCACCTGGAGACAAAAGGGTAGAGTCCGAGGTCGACTGGAAAAGGTGAAGAGGACTGAATGAACACAGCATGAGGAGGCGAGTGGGCAAGTGTGCACACGATCACCTGGGCCCGGGAGCAAGCCCATGTTGAAGTGCAAAAACCGTCCTTTGGCTCGTGATTGCCCCTCTCGGACGCCCATCCACTCCCACTCGCCAGAATCTCTTTATCGCGCTGCTGTGCCTGCTTCTCTGATCCGAGGCTCAGCCTATCAGGCGGCTGGTTTATCCCGCCTGACCGGCTGAAAAGCAGAAAGACTAAATTGTGTAGAAGCCCGATTCTCCGACAGACCTCATTCCTATCTTCAACTTCGACGGTTGCCTGAAAAGTACCCAGCAGTATGGTAAGTAAATCGGCCTAAGTTTGATCGTGATTTTTGCTGAAAATGAAGTTTATTGTATTTAATTGAGTTTCCCCATCTTGTAGACGGAACTATCAAGAGCAGAAATTGAAGGTAAGCACTTTGGAAATATGCTCTTATGCCTTCCATATGCACTCCCTTGTCCAGTTTAGCAAGTTGAAGATTATACATAACCAAACATGCAGACCAAGACCCTAACTTTAAGCCTACCAACGCTTCCTATGGCGAATTTCTGCATTTTTACTTTTCTTTATCCATTTTATTGCTAGACATCAAGGAAGTCTTTGACCTTTTCGACTTTTGGGATGGTCGTGATGGCATGATTGATGCAATTAAAGTAGGCGACCTTCTCCGCTGCAATGGCATGAACCCGACTATGGGCGTTTGCATAAAACACGGCGCAACCTCGAAAATAGGTATGTTAATGAGACTTGAATCCTCCTTCACATTGTAGCATCTTCTCACGCTTACTATTTAATAGCCCTTGTCACTATCGTTGTCTGTTACTTTTGAACAAAAATCGAACTTTAGTCTGTTTAATCAAAGACTTTGTTGCCAAAAAATTACCAAAATCTATTACGTTAACTTACTTAATAGTCAAAAATAGAACACCTTATCAAAACGTAATGCCGTTATTTACACCTAAGATAAGGCAATAATGCAGCCCTTTGCCACCAATAAAATTCACAACACCATTCAAGTACAATTTCACACTGTATTTTTTCCAATAACACATCTTAGCCGATTTTCACTAATACTAGATAAATTTAATAAAATCTATTAAAACATCCAGTGGACGAATTTTCATTTATATATTTAACGTATAGTAGATACGACAGTTTGGGGCAAATTCTAAGCCAATCATAGAGGCATAATGCTATGAAACTATAGGTTAGATATAGCCTAATCTATTGACCATGTTTGTAAATTATGATTAATCTCGATACACTGTTACTTTCGAGACACATTCCTTACTTCTGTAGTAAAATCATCAAATTGGCAAATACAAGTCTATCTTATCAGCACTAGTCCTATTATAAATTTGATTTTGTAGAAGCCTGACTTGCCCTGAAGTCCATATCTTCCCCATAGTCCACTGACACGCGCTAATGTGGCATGGTTACAACATTGCTGCTTGCTTGCAAGACTAGCTTATGACTCCGGATGAGGGGGTTGAGGAGACCCAGGCGAGACAAAAAACACAGTCCACCTCAGATTGTAGAACTTTTAGGAAGGCAAGGCTATGTTAAACCCAATGGCATAATGAGGACTACAAATTTCGCCGTAAAAGCTTTAACAATAATTCCTATATAGTCCTAAGTAACCTAATGTCAATAAACCTTTTATAGATTAGCTAGTCTCACGGTCAGAGTTAGGGGAGGTTATAATAATGCTCAAATTTACTAAACTAAGCAATTAAACCTTGCACTTCGAATCTGCCTTCCTTTCCATAATGAGCTATATTTCTAATCTAGTTTGAAGCTCAATAGTACCCCTACTTAGATTACAGTTTAAGTCAGGAGTTATATGTCAAGAGTTTTATGCCAATAATAAGGGGTAGAAATTACACTCTGGATAACAAGTAAACTTCAGAGGAAACTAAGAGGCAAAATTTATTGACCGAATTTATCCTACGATTTATTTCATCTCGAGAATCTCTGCTGCCAGATCCACTAACACCAGGCAGCCATCTGTATTCCTTCGTCATAGATCACTCTCATTTGTGAGATTATACATTATTCATTTTTTAATAATGGACAGTATAGTTTATTTAAAATAAAAAGCATTTGAAGGTGATAGCTAGTTAAGTTTATCTCATTACTCACCAGAAATAATTTTATTTCCTGATCCTTTTGATAGCAAGGGTTTCGTGCTATTGTTATAAAAATCTTAGGATGAAGGATTGTCCAAACATAAATGCTCCACCCCAACACTAAGGTTGAAATAAAGGCCAAATAACCAGCTCCACAAGCCATAACCTGTTCCCTTGGCCTAAATTAATGAAGTATGACTGTCCTGGATGAAAACACTTTTTGGCAAAGCAAGAGTACGTGAGAATCAAGGGAAAGTATCAGTTCTACTGATGGCATTGTGGAAAAATTCAAATACCGACCATTAATCACCTTGAACCAAATAGGGTGAACATAACTCATAGATCTGACTTACTGATAGCCTCGAAAACCTACTTAAAACGAAATATAATTGAATTAAGTATATTATTATTTACTTAGTTTTATCTAGAAAATTGATTTTTTAAAGGGGAAAAGCAGTACAAATTTGACGAATTCTTGCCGGTATACCAAGCTATCCTTCGAGAGAAGGAAGGAGGAACATTTGCAGACTATATGGAGGCGTTTAAGACATTCGATCGTGAAGGTCAAGGCTTCATCTCGGCAGCTGAAATGAGACATGTCTTGACTGGATATGGTGAGTCCTTCCATTGTCTCTACCTTTGGGTCAGATAGTGAGAGAAAACATTTCCCATCATTTCGTTATTTATAAATCATTATTATCCAAACTCATATCATTTCATGTTCTGAATAATGTTTAACTAATTCATTATTGCGCAAATATTTGTGCTTCAAAAGCTTTGCATCGCTTTCTCATGTAGGCACTATTTAAAGCACAAAATTTGTCTTGATATTTCATTTATTAATAAGTTATTATGTTGAGCTAGAAATTATTTGGAAATTTATGTTGTTTTCTCATAATTGTGATAAACCTATATTTATCTAAATCTTCCTTGGTTTAAGCCTATGCTCTGACCTGAGCAACACAGACCCCCTACACAATGATGAAAGTAGCTTTTTAAATCCTTAATTCACTTGGTAATATCCATCTTGTTAAAGTATTCAATAAAAAAAGTATATTTCCAAACATTTTTGTTTCCCTGCTGAATAATCTCATGTTACCTTAAATAAATGTAGTCAAAACTCTACACTTCTATCTGGTGACATATCAGTGGCTCCACCTTTTGGCTAATTGGTCAAATGTAAAACGCTGTTGGCCAGAAGATTATCATTCATATGACCATCTTTAATTCCAAGCCTCTTATGCATGCTAATTCAAATAGGCAGATGAATCAACCCTTTCAATATTGAAAAATTTAGTTTAAAATATGAATGCCAATCACACGCAGATACGATATTGCTAGATTATGCTATGCCTTAGAATGTGAACAAAGACTAGATAAGTTGAAGAAAACTAGCATGCCATTCGTTTTCTACAACTAAGCCCAGAGTAGACTAGGCTAATTGAGGGGAGTGAAGCTTAAACTAGCTACATACGAGTATAAATTGAGTTTGCTTGTCATGATTCAATCTTGATAAATAAATATCATTATAATGATCTCCTATATTTAGTTCAAATCATTTAGCATTATTGATTATTAAGCTAAGTATCAATAATATTTGTTTTTATTAATTAACAGGGGAAAGACTAGAAGACAACGAAGTTGATTCTATCGTTAAATTCACAGATCTTCACGAAGACCTTGATGGCAATATCAAATACGAAGGTAAGCTGTGATCCGAGGGTAGCTTAGATCAAATAAATTTTTTTTAGTTAAGTCTAATTTTTGAGTTAGAATACTACTCACATAGAATATAAGTATAATTCATCAATAATAAATAATACTGATATAATTTCGTATAAACTCTCAATAAGTTATGAAACTATGGCATGTTCTAATATGGAACTTTGAAGTATAAATTTAAAATGAGTCAAAATGATCAAAATTATGTTCAATACTTTAATCTCCTACGTATGTATCAAAATTCCCAGCATCAGACAGTGGACTTGGTACATTCTCAAACATTTCGCCTGCATCTTAGTCGGCATCATCAGTGAGTGCGGCCATTCCCCACACTAAGCTACGAACAAGTCAAGGAGACAAGTGAAGTCAATCGCTTGACAAACGTTCTACCGAAAAAGGTTACACTATCACTCCTCTTAATGTTCTGGCAACTGTCACAGAAATTCGACGTTAAGACCAAAATGTACTAAAAATCCACTTGAGATTCAGCATTCGACCAGAGTTAGACGCCCATAGTTTGCTCAGGTTACACGGATTTCATCAAGGAGACGACCCGTGAAGGCAATGTCTGAGATCTGCAAGCTTGGCAATCAGAGCTTAGGCGCTCTGCTCGGTTATCATGACAACTACTGTGGCAGACGACTTCGGACTAGGTGCGTTCTACTAAGTCACCCTGACAACAAGACCAAGTTGCGAAAACGAGCTCAACCCACTTCTATAAATAGATAAGCTTATGCAGAAAGATTTTAGGGTTGATTAGACCTTCTTATAGTTAGTCGCTATAGTAAAAATTTAGATGAGAGCTATTTTAATACAATTATTTTTTTTCTCCTGTACACAGATTTCATCAA